CCACCCGGACCCTGAGATGGAGACCGTGAAGCCCAGACCCGGAGCCCGCGCCCCTCGCCGGCCCAGCCCACAATCATCTCCACGGAACGCGGAACGCCATGGGCACCAGCCACCTACAGCGCCCAGGAGCGGCGATCGGCCCAGCCCCCCGCCAGTGCCGGGATAAGTGAGTACCCCACGGGGGCCAGCGCTGGCGGTGACCCCCAGAGCTTGACCCCGACCCCTACCACCTGGGCTCCTGGCCCCCTGAAGCTGGAACCCGCGGAGCACCCCAGCCTGCCAGGCTGGACCACGAGCACCGAGCACCGCTGGGAAGGAGCGGGAAGGCGGCCGCCCCGCGCCATGGGCCGAAGGAGCCCGGCCTGTGTCTCCCGGGCTGGGGACCGGGCAGCTCAGGCCGCCAGTGCTGGCTGAAGCCAGGAACTGCGCCGGGCTCCAGCATCCCTCCTGGTTTTGCCAAGAGCACCCCGGGGAGGGAGCGCGAGCAGTCTAGGCTGCGCGTCCCTAGCTGAAGTCGGGAACTGCCTGTGGGCTCCAGCGGGAGGTGAACGAGCCCCACCTGTGTCCAGGCGGGAGCCCGCGCTGCCTGAGCCACCTGCCCCTGATTGAAATCGGAGGGTGGGTATTGAAATCTGGTGGGTATGCCCACCAGAAACTAACAAGAGTCAGCCCTACTTGGGTCCGGGACTAGCAGCTGGAGGTCGGCCCCTCCCCCGACAGAACCGAGATGGGGCGAAGTCTCAGGCAGCCCAGGGCTGAGAGAGAGCAGGCTTCAACAACCGACCCAGGAACCAACCCAGAACCAAGCAAAGGCAGCCACTCATTGACCAAAACAATCAGAATTTGGGATTTGTCTCCAATAATCTCTGAAACCTCATGCAAAAATCACAGCAAAAGATTTCAAGATTCATCAGCAGCTAAGACAGCAAGCCACCCAAAGGCCAGCAGCCACCCAGGGAAGAACTCCAGTGAAAGAGCAAAAGAAATGGAAGACAGACACTACATCCAAGAGTTGATAGAGGCAATGACACAAGAATTAAAGCGAGCCGGGTGCCAGTGGCTCATGCCTGACCTGTCATCCTAGCTACCCAGGAGGCTGAGATCTGAGGATCACCGTTCAAAGCCAGCCCAGGCAGGAAAGTCCATGAAACTCTTACCTCCAATAAATCACCAGAAAACCAGAAGTGGTGCTGTAGCTCAAATGGTAGAATGCTACCTTTGAGCTGAAGAGCTGAGGGACAGCGCCCAGGCCAGAGTTCAAGCCCCATGACCCACAAAAAAAAAAAAAAAGCAAGAAATGGATCAGAAATTTAAAGAACAAAGAAATGAATTATCAAAAAAGACCCAGGATTTCAAACAAGATGCACAGTACACACCTCGTTAAAAGATGAGATTAATATCTGAGAACCGACATAGAAATCATAACTGGATCAATTTCCTCCGTGCAAACCACAGTGGAAGCCATAGTTAACAGCGTGAATGAAATGGAAAATAGAGTATCAGGTACTGAAGACAAAATGTAGCAACTGGAAAAAAAAGTCACAGATAAGGAAAAAACAAACTATGCCAAGGGGAAGTCCAAGAACAAGCAGACAGTGCCAAGACATTTAACCTTCATGTAACTGGGGTCAATAAAGGTGAGAGGAATACCAGAACAGAGGGATCAACACTAATTCAATAAGATTGTCGCCAAAAATTTCCCTAATCTTAAAAATCTTGAAGCATACAGAACACCTAGCAAACAGTATCCCTGGAGGAAGACTTCTAGGCACATCATAGAAAAAAATGCTATATTTGAACAATAAATGATCTTGCACATGGCAAAAACAAAGAAGGAGCTATACTACAATGGGGGAAAATGAGGATCACTGCAGATCTCCCCACACAGACACTGAATTCAAGGAAAGCCTGGGAAAGTACCACCCAAGCCCTGAGAACCAATAACTGCCAACCCAGACCGGTATATTCAGTGAAGCTAGTATTCACATTCAATGGAGAAACTAAAATTTTTAATAGTAAAGAAAACTAAATGAATTCATAAACAATAAGCTAGCATTACAAAGAATATTAAGAGGGGGAACACAATCTGAGGGAAACAAGATCAGGGATCCCCATCAGGCAGACATCACTAGAAGACCAACTTAGTAAGCAGAGGAGGCAAGGAGAGAAGACAAATCTTAGGAAAGCAGGAAAACGACAGGA